CACACACACACACACACACACACACACACACACACACACACACACACACACACACACACTGGTAGAATACCAGGCTTGAGCACAGAAGTTCAGGGACAGTGCTCAGGCCCAGAGTTCAAGCCCCTGGACCTACACAAAAACAAAACAAAAAGTATTTGCTTCTCTTTTGATTTTGTTACTTCAGAATAGATTTATTTACTTCTGTGTAATTTTTTTAATACTGGCATTAGAACTCAAGACATTTGCTAGGTGGTGCCTTACCATTTGAGCCATGTCCCTCCAGACCTATTTTACTTTGGTCATTTTTCAGATAGGTCTCACTTTTCAGCCTAGGGCTGACCTGGGACTGTAATCTTCCTATTTACTGCCTTTCACATAACTGTAGGTATGGACTTCTACCATGCCTGCCTTATTGATAGAGATGGAATCTTGCTTGCTTTCTGTTGAAACTGGCCTCAGACTAGATCCACCACTGCTCCTGACCCTGCATGATCTTTAAATAGATATTTTGTTAAATGTAAGGTAAGCTCTTCCCACCCCACCCTTCCCCCCTCGCCAAGGTACAGCTTAGCCACAGCTCCACTTTGGGTTATTTGTTAGTTAATTGGACATAAGAGTTTCATGCACTTTCCTGCCTGAATTGGAGATAAGAGTTTCATGCACTTTCCTGCCTGGGCTGGCTTCAAACTATGATCCTCAGATCTCATCATCCTGAGTAGCTAGGATTATAGGTATGAGCCACCAGTACCTGTATTTTTAAATGCATTTGTTTTTAACCAGAGTCCTGAATTTACAGTTCTCTCAGTTAATAAATATGCTTATTCAGTTTAGAACTGAGGCTTGATAGAGACTTGACATTATAAGTTTTCACCCATTATTTGGAGACTTAACAAAATGGTACCCTCAAAATTAGGGAGTTAGTATTCATTCTTTATATTTCTTCTTTTTTAAAATTGCTAAATCACCTAATAACTTCATACTCTTAATGGATAGGCTTTGATATTTATAATGTTTGCTTTCCAACTTAGATCTGATGGACAATAACCCAGCTTATTGTACAGAGATACAGTCAAATTTTTATTCTGCTGATCGTGGGCATTACACCTACTGACTATGCCTTCCGGCATAGTTAGGATCCATGTATTTAGGGAAACCTTTGCTTTTCATCTTCTTGGAGTTTTGATATGACATTGAACTTGTAGTTTCATTTGTTTAGAATTTTGGTAGTCATTTCACAGTTGTTAGCATCAAAGATAAATGTATATAACAATGTATTTGTCAGTATTCTCAATTTTATGATTTTATCATCATTACTTTTGTTCCAAACTTTGTGAATTCTAGTTGGAGAGGTTCACTTGTGAGAAAAGCCCAAATTCCTCTATTCTTCCTACATAAGAAGGCATACCTTTAGATCACATTTGTATATGTGAGTGTAATCCAGTTGACTCTTGCACTAGTAGTTATATAACATACTTTAAGGAATTAAAGTTTTTTTAAATACAGTTAATCCTTTAATGTCAGTTATTTTATTTTAATTTTTTCACTGTTATAATTTAGTTCATTTATCTTCATTTTGAACTCTTAGAGTCTTCTCTACTTTTATGATTCTAAATCTTTCAGAATAAGGGTTTCTTAACTGCGACTTGGAATTCCTTGCCTTCTATAAATAGCTATCAGTTTTTTTCTCTTTGAATTCAAATCAAACTAAATATGAAGCTTGTTTCAAATGTACTTGGAGATTTTAATATTAAAATGTATGTAATTTCAATTTCACATAGCTTTTGTTAGTGAATTTTATTCAAGGTAAGCATCTATATGGGGGCATTAATTAAAGGAATTATTATAATTAATTTTCATATTATTAATTTTTCATATTTAGGGGAGATACAATCTTCATTCTTGTTTTTAAAGAGTTTTCTTATTTGGTTTCAGCATTACTGCTTGTTAGTTTAGTAGTACATTATAGGGTTTCCTTTTCACCAGAGTTTAGCTGCTTCTCTTAGGTTTAACTTTTAAGTTAGTTTATATTCCTCTGAGTTCTCACCATATATTATTTTTGACCTGGAAGGCTCCTGGTTGTTACGGGAAACTGACAGCATTAAAAACTAGTTGTGGGGGCTGGGAAGGTGGCTCAGTGGTAGAGTGCTTGCCTTGTATGCATGAGGCTCTGGATTTGATTCCTCAGTACCACATAAGCACAAAAAAAAACCCCAAAACAAAAAGCAGAAGTAGTGCTATGGCTCGAGTGGTAGCGCACTAACCATAAATTGAACAGCTGAGGGACAGCGCCCAGGCCTAGAGTTCAGGCCCTATGACCGACCAAAAAACAAAACAAAACAAAACAACAACAGCAAAAAACTAGTTGTGGGGGGCTGGGAAGGTGGCTCAGTGGTAGAGCACTTGCCTTGCATGCTCGAGGCCCTGGGTTCGATTCCTCAGCACCACATTAGAAAAAAGCCGGAAGTGGTGATGTGGCTCAAGTGGTAGAGTGTTAGCCTTGAGCTGAAGAGCTGAGGGACAGCGCCCAGGCCCAGAGTTCAGGCCCCACGACCAGACCCAAACAAAAAAAAAACAAAAAAAAACCTAGTTGTGGATAGATTTATACCTGCCTAATTTTGTGTAAGCAATGCAAAGTTTATTATAAATGAACAAGCTATGTTTTAGATACATTTGTAGTAAAATTGATACTTGTAAAAGTTATGAATATTCTGAAAAACTTATTTATACAATTACATTTTGAAGCCCCTAACTACAAAATTTGTTACTACAAAATTTGTTACTTCTTGATTATTATACTTTCCAGATGATTTATTATTTATAGCTGTTCTTCTGACTATTCGCTGCATTTTTATACCTGTTCTGTGAAAATGTGAGGTAATATTTAAAAATCACACAGAATGTGCCATTTAAGTCACTTATATTTCTCCAGAGGGTAGTAATTTAGATGTACAGAGATATAAAGTGTTTAACCTGAATGAGTAAATAATGAAAGGTAATTGGTGACAAATTAGTTGGAACCAGTTATTTGCCCGACTCAGTGAATAAAAGTTACCGTGGATTATGAATTACATATTATTTGAATGTTTTTGGAGAGTACAGATTGCCTTTTAACAGTAGTCTAAATATTCTGAATTAAAATATTGAAAGTAAAGCATTTTAAAATGTAAAAAGAAAAATCTAAACCCCTCATCAATTTTAAATTAATTAAAATATTTTAACTATTTTCTTAGATTATGTTGTTTTCTTTTTAATCAGATACCTAGATAATGACTGATAAAGTACTTTACACACCTTGATATGTAAGTGTATCTTGTTGAAATAGTTACATTTGGTGGACTTTTGATTCTTTATGCCAGTTGCAGGAAAACCACATTGGGAGAAATGAACCATAACCCAAATCTAATTTTAGGTTTTATGTGAAAAATTTCACAGCATGCTTATTTTTATAGTGTTCTTAATTCAAAGAAAATATGTCATGAAATGTGTCAAGATTGTAAGCTAAATGATGACAATTGAAGGTGGTATAGAAATATTTCTGGAGTTTTGAGAAAATGAACTGGGTTTCTGTCAGTTGAGAATTAACTATAATGGGATTTCCTTTGATGAATGAGTTTTCTATCTCACTAAAATTAATGTGTTTCCTTTCTGTCTATTAATTATGTCTAGCTCTAAGTTGTAAAATATAATTAAGGAATAATAAGTTGTGTTTTTTCTTTCTTTTTTCCTTTTTAGGGTATGAGTATTATAGAACAATTAGATCCTGTATCTTTTAGCAATTACTTGAAGAAATACCATAATACTATATGTGGAAGACATCCTATTGGGGTGTTATTAAATGTGAGTAATCTAGGAAATTTTGACTTCTAACATTTAATATTGTCATATTTTAAAATATATTCTTAAGCATTGAGCTTATTATTGTCTTTGGTTGTATGTACACATAGTCCATTTTCTCCCTAGTACCTGTAACACAATTGTAGATGGCCAGTTTTCAGTGTGTGAATAAACTGACCCTTGGAATACAGGTCTGTATTTTCTGCTAAATACAGAAAGTTATTTAGAATAGTCATATTTTCTCTTGACCTTAGTCCAGTATGTCTTTATAAATATAAGCCAAACTGAACTTTAGATGCAGGAAAGGTGACGAGTCTGCTTTTCTCTTTAAAACAAAAATGGTAATTCCCATCTCATTTAAAGAGTACTAACAGAAGTTTTGTTGGATTTCAAGAGATAAAACATTGATTTTTCTTTCTAGTAAGTAAAATACTGAACTTAAGGAAAAAAGAGAGAAAATGTATACTCAAGAATTAACAGTGGCTGGTTTGTTTAGATCAGCCACTTTGTTTAGAAAGGCAGAGAAATAATCTGCAAGGCAGAGCTTCTGCTGTCTAGTATTCTGTTAAATGGTTTAAAGGACAATGTGTTGTGGACTTTTTTCCTTAAGGTTTTTTCCCTTAAGCTGGGTAGGTATACTGAGAGATAGCCTGACATGCGCTGAAACTACCTGGAAATAAATACTGAGGCTTGAGCTAGAATAAGTGACAACTAAAGTCTGAATTGCACCAAATGAAAAGTTTCATTAAATAAATGACCAATCCATAAGTAAAGTAAAAAAAAATCCTAGCATGTCTTTTATTTTTGAAACTTAATTTATGCACATTTCAAATTTAGCCAAAGTTAGACAAAAACTTCAAGATATTAATGCAACATTTTAAAGCAGAAAATTTGGTTTAGAAGATAGGGAGATACTATGTTTTATTGAAAAACAGTTTTTGAAAATTAGAGTAAAAGGTAGAATGGATGATGTCTAATGTATAATTATTGAGCAAGCTTCTTTAGAAGAGAGTCTTTGAGGATCAAATGAGTTCTCAGTTTTTCTGTTTAATAGACAAGACATATTTATGAAAATAAGGGTGAAAGAAATTTAGGCTTAAGTAGTGACATGGGCAGTCAAACATCCATCATGTTCAGATTGCTCAGCTTTTTATCTGATATTTGTCATAACCAGATTTTTCTTTTTTTAGGCTATCACAGAACTCCAGAAGAATGGGATGAATATGAGCTTTTCCTTTTTGAATTATGCCCAGTCCAGCCAGTGTAGAAACTGGCAAGACAGTTCAGTGAGTTACGCGGCTGGAGCACTCACGGTCCACTGAAACTGAATCCTCAGGGATGCCACCTGCACATACTCATGTTCTGCCCGGGTCCCAGCCCAGCCCTTACCGAGACATTGGTTTTGGTTGGGGGGATTCTGAAACCTCAAACTAATAGAACTTTCTTCTCTTCTTTTCTAGTAGGTGTAGTCCTTCTTAATTTCAACTCATTAAGTAAATGCTTTATAGTTTTGGGCAGTGGAATGAAGGCTGGCATCAAAAAATATTTTGATTAAAAGAGACGTCAATGTAAAGGCCAAATTGTGGCAGTTTTTTGGAAGTGACTTGTAAAGCATTTATCATATCCTAAATTTGCACTCTTTGCAGACTTGTGCACATATACTCCGCTTTCAAATAGTTTTGCAAATTGTACACAAACAAACAAAATAAGGGTGGAAGCTTTTTAATAAAGAATTGCATTTATAAATGATCTGTATTAGAACACAATAAACCCCAGTTAATAGACAATTACTACCCATGTTGTACAACAGATACCTTCTATTTTAGTTGCTAATAAAGGGCTACACAACTCAAAATAGTCTGATTTAAACTTATTGCTCTGTGGTATATATGAAATTTGTTTTTTTAAAAATTAATTCCATTTCAGAATTTTTGTTAAAATGGTAAGCCTCAGCTCTATGTAAAAATATATTTAGGATGTATTTTATATTTTGCATATTATGTGATTTTTTAAATCACAGAAATCAATATGATTTTATAATTAACTTTAAAAATTATATTTGTTTGCCTTTGTGTGTGACATTCCCCATGTCATTACAGTATTTGGTAGACTATGGATTGAAGAATGGTAAAAGACATAGATCAGTCCTTTATTTCAGAGATGATATCTGATAGTCTGCAAATGAAGAAACATTGAAGAGTGTTGCTAGTATTTTTCAAATCTTTGCAGACCATACACTGCTATGATTTTTTTTTTAGTGCTCTGAGCAATTTGACTTTTTTACTTGAATTTTTAGCAAGAAATCATTAACAACAGCAGCAAAACCCACTGGATTTTCTGATAGTCCTATTTTTTTGGCCTGATTTTTGGTGCGGCTCTTCCAACTAAAATAATGGTATGGTGTTGTATTTATTTCTTTAACAAAGATCAATTCTAGTCACTTTGGCAAAAAACAAAATGTAATTCAGTCAGTTAAGCCACCATGCATGTTGTGTATTATACCTATTTTAACAGGACACTGGTTATCTGTATTTCATTGGAGGGTGGTTATATCTTCAATGTTATGACAATAGCACAACTTTAGATGCCTTGCACCAATTCTATTTAAAGATTTGCCTTTCTTATTATCAATTTTCTATACTTAAGAATGAGATAAAATTACCTTTTAGATTCAAAATTACCCACGTATATGTGTAGAAACTATACTGTTACACATCAATTATTTATTCAGATATACTTTTGAGTATATCTATTTATTTAGATATACTTTGAGTACTATATGTTTTTATTTTTTGCTTAATATAGACTATAAAAATTTATGAATTGTCAAGAGTGAATTTTTTGAATAATGTTTTGAGTATCAAACTAGCACATGGGTATTGTAGAAAATTTGGAAATACTGAAAAGTGTAAAGAAAAAAATTGTCTGCAATTCTCACTACCCAGAGATAACACTGTTAAATATTTTTTGTATTTTCTTTCAGTGTTTGTCTAGGCTATTCATGTGTATGAGTGTGATGTGTGTGTGTGATAACAAAGTTAAGATTATACCAACCATATAGTTTTGTACTTTGTTTTTTAATAACCTATTATAAGTACCTACCCATGTCTTTGAAAATGTGGTTTTTAAAAAATGGCTGCTGTATTGTTTGAAAATACTATAAGTTAACTAGTTTTCTCTTTGGACCTTAGGTTGTTTCTAATCTTTTGACAATTTTATAGTAGGATGGCCATCCTTATTATAAAATCATAATTCTATCCTAGACTCATTCTCTAGATATAGTTATAGGATGGAATAAGTGGTTTGCCTGGTGAGAATGTCTTAGGCTCTTTAAAACATGCCAAATTATCTTTCAGTAAGATTGTACCAAATTAGTAAGTAGTGTTGAGTTCTCACTGTACCAACCCTTTACTAGTGACATTTCTTCTAATCTTTAACAAATTTGTTCAGCAAAACTGGTTGTTTCTTTAATAATTTTAGTATGAGTTGCTTTGTAGTTATTTTCCTTTAGGGATTTAAAAAAATTTTTTTTTGTGTGCCAGTACTAGGGCTTGAGCTCACGGCCTGGGCACTGTCCCTTAGCTTTTCTGCTCAAGGCTGGCACTCAACCACTTGAGCCACAGCTCCACTTCTAGCTTTTTGCTGATTATTTGGAGATAAGAGTCTCACAGACTTTCTTTTATTTGGTCTGGCTTCAAACCACAATCCTCAAATCTCAGCCTTCAGAGTAGTTTAGGATTACAGGGGTGAGCTATGGACCTCTGGCTCCTTCTGTGATTTTTATAGTTGGTATATAAAAAGATAAAAGAAGAGTTGTTTGGGTTGTGTGACCTGTAACTCGAGGAGTATCGTGTACTATTCTATACTTTTATTTTTGCTTTTTTGAGACAGGATTTCCTTATAACCCAGATTGGCCTCAAACTCCTGATACTCTTGCTTCAGCCTCCCTAGTGCTGGAGTTACAGGCAAGTACCACTACCACACTTGGTTTGTACTGTGCTTTTATATAATTACAATATCTCAATATCACTCTACCCTTTCATAGAATGCAAGCATACTTTTTATATCTAGTTTTGAAATGAATTCCAAGCCAATAGTTCTGTGTTGGGTTCCAGTTCTGTCTCTTGAACTTGTGTTTCATGTCTTATTGATGCATTCTCATGTGTACAATGTGGAGGCAATCTCTTAAGCCCTTTTTGTTTGAAACGATTTGATGTTTTGAGGTGTTTTTTTTAAACTACTCTAGTGTCACTTATGTTAAGTAGTTACAGAATTTAATCAGATTATATGTATTATCTTTTGATTTGAGCTCTATGTATATGGAAATGAAAATCTTATTACTTAATGTAAGCCAGAAATGAATTAACCTTATTTAGTATAATTAATATTATAAATTATATGTAAGCTTTCCTATTTTAAGTGCCTTTGAAAGCATTTTGTATATAAAATATAAAATGCAAACAAAGTTAGTTTTATACTGTTGCTTTTTTATCATACACTGATGAGTTACTTGTGGCCATTTTTTTAAAATCTTAGATTGTACAGAGCAGTGTCTTCTTTGATTCCTCACTGTCCACTAGTGAGTCCTTGAGAAATGTTTGTTAGAGATTAGGTCAGTGGACAGGTAAGTAAGTGCTCTGTCTTGAGTAGGTAACAAGTCTTTATAAAAGAATAGAATAAGTTTGTTGCCTTGACTCAAGCCTGTAATCCTAGCTACTTGAGAGGTGGAGAGTGGTGGATCGGGGACTGGACACAGTGACACATCTCTTATTATCTCAGCTATTAGAGTAACACAATGGTGGTTGCAGTGGTATACACTTGTATTCCCCAGCCACATGGGAGAGATAAGTTAGGAGGACTACAGTCCAGGCTGGCCTAGCATAAAGCAAGACCCTACCTTGAAAATAACCAATGCAAAAAGGGGCTGGAGGTGTGGCTCAGGTGGTAGAACACCAGCCTATCAAGTGAGGGGTGACTGAAATTTTAAAGAAATGTAAGGGAAATTAAGAACTCTTAGAATTAGTGTTACAGTACTTTGAAATCCTTTTTTTCCTGAAGCCTAATGGGCTTACCTTACTACTATAAATTAATGGAATGAAGGAATGATCAGTGTAGGGTTATGGTTATTGTTGCAAATGTCTTGTATCTTTTTGGTGGTACAGATTGAACCAGGGCCCTATGCATACCAAGCTCATGTTCTACCATCACTGAGCTACCACACTCCTCAGCCTGCCACAATTTTTTTGTATTATTCCAAGAACTTACAGGTGAACTTTCTTTTTTTTTTTTTTTTTTTTTTTGTCCTACACATGTACTAGTTATTTCCAATAAGGGTTTATTTTGTTTTTTTTTTGAGATAGGGTCTTGTTAGGTAGACCAGGCTGGCTTCCCAGTGGTTATCATACCTAGCATCTGAAGTCCTGGGATTATAATCTGTATCACCGTGGCTGGAGTTCTTTTTATTTTCTCTCTCTTTTTTTGTCTAAGTGCTTTAGGATACTAGATCATTATTTTAAATAAGATTATGAAATATTTTACTTGTGTGAAAAATAACTACTATCTTCTATCACCCTCATTTAAACCGTGAACTCTGATGTTAAGGAAGGACAAAAACTTAAGAGTTAAGGAGAAAAATTTAAGTAAGTTTAGATTGATGAAAAATTGCTGTAGACTTATTTTGTCATTTTTTGATGATGACTGAAAAATCTCATCAAGTCAGTGTCAGTGCATAATCCAGGTATTCAAGAAGTGCTCTTTTCATTGCCAGAAGACCCAGAGTAGTTACAGACTGCCAGTGAATGTCCGCTGAGAAAGCCAGAGTGATGAGAGGCCCATGTGGGATGAAGATGAAGAATAGATGCAGTTACTTTGGAGAAGATAAGTTTAAGGAAAGGGAGATTTCTTCAACTATTTGAGGGAATGTCATAACAACAACAGCATCATTTTTTGTTCTAGGGTAAAATAGTATTAAGAAACCATCTCTGGTTCTGTATTTAATGTATGAGAATCTGATAATGAAAATAGGCTTTTTAGAAGTATTTAAACAAAAACTACATCTGTGATTCTCAAAGTTGAGTCCCTGGAAATACTTTATTACCTGAAAATATTTTATAATTATAATAATTATAAACATAGATCACCAGGCTGAACAAAAGCTAGTAGAATTAGTGCAAATAACATCAGATTCACTTATACAAAACTTCTTATTTTCATGTCAAAATTGTTTTTAATCACTAACTTTAAACATAGAGATTGTGACTTGGCAAGATGATTGTTGCTTCATTAGTAATAGTGGAACTCTAGAATAATCAATTTGTTTTATCTAGAGCATGTAAATGTAAAGCAAAGTTCTATTCCTAATACAAATTTAAGTCAGTCTTTAAGTAAATGGCTTCTTTCTCAAACAAAGGTGCTTTCTTCAACTTACATGATAGCCATATCAGAAGTGGAAAGGGTACTAAGTCAAGAGAGCTGTTTTTAAATTTACCGATGTCAAAATATTAGGAGGAGAGGCAGGAGCAGCTGGCAGATAAAAATTACTTCCAGCACATAGCTGCAAATGTGATTCAATGCACTGCACATGTCAACAGTGACTGATTTTTATAACTTCTTCTTGCCACAACTGAGCCCTGCCTCTGCCTCATTACTGTTACGAATGGATTTTGTTTGTGCAGTATTTCAGATTTGCCATCTATTCCTTGATTCTCTGGTTTGTGTGTGTGTGTGTGTGTGTGTGTGTGTGTGTATGTGTGTGTGTGTGTTGCACCCACACATTTGAACCTTTAATTATAAGGTATTAGCTGTCATCCTATAAAAATAATGGGAAAAAGTTAAAAGCTAGTTCTGATTGTGAAA